TAAATAAATAAATAAATAAATAAATACATACATATGCAAAATAACGAAAGTGGACATACTGTAAATGACGTCGTCTGTAAGGAACCAAAGTGTCACACCTGAATTAAAAACTTGCTTTTATGCGAAACACTGGCAGGATAGTTCAAAGGCAGTATATGGGATAAGATTAGGATGAAAATTAACAATGCCGATTAGGAGCACTTGCAGGGTTTGCTACCGAAGATGACCCATTCAGCGGTTGTACAACATTTTAGACAGGGTTTGTAAAGAAATAAAGCAAGAATGAAAGAATGAGAGATAGGAAGAATGAATGATTGAACGAATGAGTGAGTGAACAAATAGATGGATCAACAAAATTATGAATGAAAAAATGAATGAGTTAAGGAATGTTCATATGAATGAAAATAACTCATTCGGAATCCGCACTCTTTAACCGTAGCAAATAATTTGGAAGCTCACAATTGAGGAAACAGCTCTTAGTGTTTCAATGTTAAGTTTAATTATGACATTGTTTTTTATCGAGTTCCTTTCAGCTTATAGAATATCTGTAGTTCACCTAAGTTATAAGCAATGGACAACGATTTAATATGCAATTAATATCTAAAACAATTGGAGATGCTGTCCTTAGGCGATTGAACATCGCAAAACTTTCTGATTTGATGGCAGCGACTAGAAACTGTAGAAACGCAAATTTCCTTAAGGGTCAGAGGGTCAGACAATTCGATCGTCATTTTGAATACAAATGATTCATAATTGTATCCTGTTACAGTTTATGTGAAGTCGATCGAAACGTTGGTCTTTTAAGGAAGCAATACATATGTATTTCTTTCTCGTGTCGCCATCGCATCGAATCGTAGAGCACATACAGCTGCTAACCAACTTTTCTCTTTAGTCAGAATGCTTTTTACTACCACTGTTTTACCTGTTGAAGACCAACACTCGGTCAGTCGATATAGGTTAGTCGTTCCTGCAATACGTCCGAGGCTGAGTCGATAGAGGGTAGGATTCGAAATCTGGAGTTCATTGGCTTGGACCACGGCCTAATCACTCCTCTCGCTTCATGCTCAGATTAATAAGTGAGTTCCATATGTGACAAAAAGCAAAGCATTGCACAGAGTTGAAGACAATGCTTTAAAATAAGGCTTTGATGGCATAAATCAGCGTCCCACGATCAATTTCATAAATACACGTGACCGCTGTTGATGAAAGTGTAAAGAAGACCGACATCCCAACGGCTGCAAATTTTCACGGTTGCTGCATCATTAACATATGTGGCGTGAACAGACGCGAAACGTTATAACTATATTTATTAAAGTCCAAATATACCTTCAAACTGAACCGCGTGATAATCGAATGCGAACCTGTGAGAAGCGAAAATGACCAATCAGATTTTAGTAATAAAACATAAATTTCTTACAAGATATCTCCAGCACCGCGCTTTCGCATCCGAGTGATAAAAATATTATCCTTTGGGAACCTGCTGTCCACGGCAAGATGTATGGTATATATTGGCAGATAAGCCTTTTTAAACCAACTGATGTCGTACACTTCTACCGTCAACCGGAAACCCTGAAACACATGTCTGATAAGAAATCATGTCCTAGTTGGCACATTGTTGCTACTAACATTCCACGGTCCGTCGTAAACGAAAATCTCTGGATTTTGCCACTGTCCGTATCGATGACCCGGCAGAAACGTTACTTTGTTGTTTCCTCTGGTCAGCTGGCCGAGGTCTCTGTGGACCGGAACGACCTCGGAGTATCGGCGCTTCCTGAGGAAAGAAGGCTTAGAGTACTACTGTTTGTAAACAGTCACTCAACGTGTCACTCTTACGGCTTGAAACTGATCTTCATGTGAATGTCACACGGAGCAGGCTGGCCCCACCAATGAGTGTGACAGAAATGTCCGTCTTGCAACTTGCCACTTGGATTTTCGAAACTTTTCAGCAAGATAGACACCTTCGTCTGCAAACC